GGGAAAGAGAGGGATTCGAACCATGATAATTTTTCATCATCCGGCTCGAGCGTAGGCCTCCCAAAAGGTAACGGATATAATTCACAGTAATAAAAGGCGAAAGACACAATCTTACCCCTGCGTCAGCTGCAATAGGCTTCCCAAGGCGACTCAATTCTGTTTCCAACTCCAATACCGTTTTTTGGATAAGTGACTGGAGGCCAGGAATCCTTGACTTGATCACTTGTTCTAGATGCTGAAAACACAAAAACATGTTGATTAGCTGTTGTTTCAGCCACAAGTTGATGACTGGTTTCCCAACAAAACAATTCAATACAGAACCTTGTCAAAAATGGCCTCCAAATTTTCCACATTTCTAGCTTTTGTATGAATTCTGCATCCCTATTGGACATCCATCCACTTTTCTAGACGTGTTTGTCTCGCTATACCTAACAAACTAATATCAAGGAAATACTACACTAGTCCTAATAAATCTGTATCAGGACTTAAGAAAACTGATGGGAACAATATCAGCACAAGAAAAAATGTTTCACCTTGGAGAGCATTTTCGCCAAATGCTCGGAACCCATTCTGTGAGCCAGATGCCTATACTCCGTAGTATTGGCAAAATACTCCTTCTCTCTACGCCGTGCCGCTATCATATCAACATTCTTGTTAATATCTGCTTGGGAACGATTGACAACACCGACCCATGGAAACTTGAGTCTGTAAGCTTTCCCTTCCAGGATCTAAACGCATAGAACGCACAGTAATGCTCAGAAATAAACAGTCATGGGAAAACATCCAGGCCATGCCGTGAAAAGCCTTATACATGGTTTAGCCTGAACATCATAAAACAATGAAAAAAAATCTGCATTCCCAGCACTTTTGACCTTCCAATAATTGCAGCAAATTGCAATAACGCTGTAATGTGATTTTCTAGAATGATTAGATCATCTGACTTACATCGACTGCATCAGTTCCCTTGTCCATAAGGTCTATCTTTGTCAAGACACCAAATGTTCTCTCTCCTGTGAAGTTCGCAAAAGAGTATTAGATACCTAGGGTTACAACATAGTGCATTGATTTCTTCCTTGACAAAACTCAAGAGAGAAGTACGATAATGAACGTTTATAGCAAAATGCTTACCAGATGGATCGACCTCACGAGAAATTTTTATGGCATCTGATGTAGCAAGATCTTGGTTGGCAGGTGAAATTGCCAATATGATGCAGTTGGGCTATAAAGAAAATTGATTAAAAACAAGACATAAAATTGCCATTTTTTTCGTTCTGCAATAGTATGCAGCCATTTTACCTTTTCAATGAAAGCTCGGACCATGTTTTCAATATCCTGCACTATACTGTCAGGTTGTCCCTCTGCATCAAGGGAAAAAAAAAAGAAGAATCGGTGTCACACAAAATTAACTACAGCGAACAATTTAACCCCCATTGCCATGTTGAAATATGGCAAGTATCAGAACTGCTCCAGAGATAAACCCTAATTCTTGCTCTACTGGTCCAGTATAGGTCAGATAACATAATAAGTATGTGTAACTCACCAACAGCAACTTTTGTGAGCCCAGGAAGATCAACCAGTGTAAGGTTCACAACTGCATTACAGTGGAAAGATGATCAAAGATTAGATAGATAATATGTCAGAACGAAAGAGCACATGGCTGATTCATGAGCAAGAAAAACAAGGAAATAGAACAGAAAGAGAGTTCAAAGTTCATCCTAACCATTGGGAGAATATATGCTGAGGTGAATTGGAACGCTGGAAATCTGCTTGGTGCGGCCAGTCTCTCTGTCAGTCTCGTCCTGAATCTCCTTCCTCACAGCAGCTATAGAGGTCATCAAAACAAACAAAATCATTGACATAATGCAATATAGATGAAGATGAAGCTTAAAGTAGAAACGAGACAGAGATACCCACCAAAATCGGTCAACCTCTTCCTCGGGAGGTGAAGAAACTCTGCATACTCCCGGCTTCCTTCATCGATCTTATGCAACTGCAAGACAAGGGGTCTTCGTGTAACAATACCTACAAACAATTCCAACAAAAGCAATGTCAATATACAAGGTAAACCAGTAAAAAGGACTAGATCAATAATAGCTGTTAACGATATGATTACCGGATCCACGGGGTAAAAAATCCTTTCCGACAATACTCTCCAAGACTGAAGACTTTCCTGAACTCTGTTACACAACAGGGCGATTCGATGAGAAGACCTCCAACATGAAACTCAAGGCCACATATTCGATTGGTACTAAGAAGCAAAAATTGGACGCAAAACTACGAAGCATACAATATTACTACGTCACGGGATTCGGTAATAGTGCATCTTTTGCATGTAAAACTAAAACAATTGAATGGAAATCCCTCAACACTCAAAACTCAAGAATTATCAGAGCTGCGGGGCTTTATCTTCATGACACAAAGTTGACTAGAAAATATTGAAATCAAACCCAAGTCCACATCCTATTATAGCAATTACTTTCCAAACTAATATACCATACAGGCTATATATCTTCCGTTCTCCACGATCCAGGGTTTTCACCGGCGACAAATTCGGAGGAATACCACAAGTTCAGGCTATGGAATCTCAAATACCCCGCAACATTGAACCCAGAAACGAAATAGGCGAACAGATGTCTCGGGATACACGAAAAGATCTTCCATCAAATATATACAACATAATTAGGCAGGAACTAGGAAGATCGAGATGCAAACCTGTCCACCGACAACAGCGATAGAAGGCAAGGAGTCCCAGAGAGTCGGCAAGGCACTGGAATCTCCATGGTCGCCGAGAGCCGTGCAAGCTCTCTGAATCTTGTTCACCAGAGAGATCAGATTTTCCATCCTCCTCTACTTCTTGAGCTGAGAAGATGGTAAACCACAGAGTCCGGAGAAATAGAGCTGGAGAAGGCAGAGATGGGCGAGATCTGATAGCTCCGCCGGTGAAGATTAGGGTTAGAGAGAATAGATCTGCGACGGTGACTTGGAACCTTACAGAGAGAGAAGGCGAGTTTCTGAAAATTTGAGTTTGGGGAAAGAAAATGCGAGTGTCTTGAAAAGTGAACGAGAAGGAAGCGGTTTATATAAGCCAATGGGGTTCTTGGTTCTTCACACACTATTTTTTTAAAGTTTTGTTTGAAATAAAAGTCAGACATGTGAAATGACACGACGTTTTAAAGTAGATTACCAAAACGGCGAGGCTTTCTACCTCTCCCACGCTTTTTTATGGTCTTTTTTTTTTTTGTATATTTGTAAATACATATGTCTCTAACGGGTGAATTCTATTTCAATCTATATAAAAATAAAATTAAACAAATAACAACATACTACTTCTCATCGATTGATTAATCTCCTTCAGTATTGGTAAATCAAAACCTAATTACCTAGGGGGGAAAAGAAAAAGAGAGAGGGGCCAAATTGAGATAATGAATGAATAGATAGGTGAATCCATTGCAATGTGGACCAGAGGCATCCATTCCCAACGGTAACAAAGGAAGAGGAGGTAGAGACCTCAAATAACTTTGAAGAAAAAAAGAGACGTTGGAAAACCATTTGCTTTTTTCAAATTCAAATATTATCTTTGTCCTCTGCTCGTTTTTAACGTTTCAAGTTATGAGAGAGAGAGAGAGCGCATTTTATTAGGTGACAAGGAAAAAGAACAATTGACACGAATCATAACAATTTAAACTTGAGAACGGAAATTTAATTGTGAAATTGAGACATGGGGGGGGGGGGGGTTA